TGATATGGCATAGAGGTCTAGAAGAAGTTTGCACAACGATGTTTCTGTTATCAATAAAATCACCAATGTCTCCTACAATTAAAGAGGCAACCTCAGAAGCAGTTGGTAGGTTCTATGTCCTTCCATCATGTTGTCTTTTTCCAATAATTCATAACCATCCTAAAACACTTGACCAACTCGTTATTTGAATCCAACATAAGCTTCAAATATTCTATAATTTGAAGATCATTTGAATCATTAGTTGATGTAGAGGCATGCTTGCTTCCCCTGTAAATAATCTTATTTTAATATACAAATGAATAATATAAAGGTAATATTGTTAAAATGATAATAGACAGTAATAGTAAATTTGAATATATACTAGAAACATTTCTGTCTATTTGAGGTTTCATTTTCGATATCATATATGTACAACTGTGAAAATCTTGGTTGACATCCATTCGTAGGGAGAAGGCTTCCGATACTATGATAATTTTGACCGCTAAGCCTGAATAGAGATGGTGCATTTCCTTTATTAATGGATGAATCAACTTTCCCAACCATTGACGTAAATGAAAACATTGAATTGTAACGACGGATGTTTTTCATGAAATATTTTCTTTTAGAATCTATCTCAAGATAAAGTTGTTTGTAACTTTGCAGTGGTTATTTTAAAGGAGGTAGTTCTACCTTCCCATAACCACAACAGATAGAAAAGATTTTATTCTCTGTTTTTTTGCCTCTTGAAGATTCATCTTTCCATAATTTAGCATGACATAGTTCACAAACAACATTCTGATCACCATGATCTAAATAACCTGTTAAATAGAACATTATTAAAAATGTAAGTATAAAAAACTTATAATTACGAACTTCAAATATGTAAAATGTTGTTTATGATTATTACCTTTTGATATACCAACATGTGTGGGTTGGATAATATCTCCACCATTAATATCATCATCTGTCGTTAAGCCAAATATAGGTATAGGAGATATATGTGCAGACTTTCTTTCTGAGTTGTGTACTCGTGAAGAAATTTGTTTGGATGAATAAGTTTGTGTGGCCGTGGATAAATTGGTTGATTTCTTGGAATTAGAAGATGCAAAATATCCTCGGTTATTTGATAAGTATGTTGGAGCATTATGTTGAATGCTAAAAATAGCTGAAAGAAAAATAGTACGTTAATTATGTAGTTATTGTAATATAAAATAATATCGTATGTATAATAAAAAATATATGCATACCATTTGAGATATTGGAAAGTGGACTCCTAAAATTTAGATTTGAAGGAGATCACAAGGTTGTAGAATGATATTGAGGAGTCTTGTCAGAGCTGACATTTTTCTTTTGAGACGAAATATGTGTGAGCTTTTTTGAAGAGTTTAAATGTTGACGATGATTGAAGACATCACCTACATATAATTATAACTTTGTTTAATAATAATGAAAATTAAACACAATTCGGTAATTTCATAAAACTTATAGTTAAGATAATAAAAATAAGTAAATCACACAAAATAATTACCGTTCTCGGTCGTGTTAACAGGTGGCGTTGCAGACGAACTTTAACCGTTTGATATGGTAGATTTATTTTTGAATTTTCTATTATCGAAATATTTTGTCCTTAGTTTTCGTTGCTCTTTAGCTGAAGTAGAATCATTTTTTCTCTCATAATCTATAATAGAAACACAGTTTAATTAAAATATAATCTATAACCTAAGTTTCTAACTTATGTTTGTATTTATTATGATTGGTTTTTGATATACCTGCATTTATGGATTAAAAAATATGTGGACCGTTAATATGATCATCTGTTTCTTAGGTCGAATATACGTATAGGATATATATGTGCAGACTTTCTTTTTAAGTTGTGCACTCTGAAAACTGATTGGATGAGGATGTTGGACCGTTATAAGGATTGTTAGATAAAGCAGAAAAAAATATGTAACTTTTTAATCATATAGTTATTGTAATGTAAAAGAAAACTGCATGTATAATAACAATAATAAAAATTATACATACCATTTGATATATTGGATAACGGAGTCATATAATTGATATTTGAAGGAGATTGAAAGCTTGAGCAATGACATTGAGAAATTTTATTAGAGTTGGTGTTTAAATGTTGACGATGACCGAAGACATTAGCTACATATAATTTGAAATATAGTTAATAACGAAAAAAATCATTAATATTAATTAATTATATAGATATGAATTGTTTATATTATTTACGAAATAACATAGTAATTATACAAAAAAATTAACATACGAAAAAATTACCGTTATGGGTACTGTTTAAAGGTCGTGAGGTAGATGAAGTATGACCGTCTGATATGGTAGATATTTTTTTTAAATCTTCTATTATCCAAATATAGCTTCTTTAATTTTCGTCGTTCTTTAGCTGAAGTAGAATCCATAGTATATTCTATCATCTGTATATGAACATAAATATAATTAGTATTTAATATACAAATGGTACGTTAAATAAAAAGTTATGTATAATGTTATAATTATAAAAAATGTTATAAAACAAATATAAAATATGATGAATAGTTTAAAAGTATTTGAAAAAAAGGTATTGATTGTATTTTACCCTCATGTTTTTGAATCAATGAAAAAATGGATTTGAAAATGTAAAGTCATTGCAATGGCCACCATTAGTTGTTGCCAACTGTGAGATTGAATCGACATCAACCGGGAACCAAAAAAAAATATAACTTATTTTCAAAGAACATATAAAGAAATTGATAAATTAGTTACTTTTTAACTAATGAAAATCAAATTATTAAAGGATTTAATAAATAAACTAATAATCTTAATCTTAATTAAAAAAAACAAACCAATTATAAAAGTTTAATAAAACAAATACAAAACAAACAATAATAATTATGTATCATATACTCCGTATAATATTAAAGTTCATTGTTTTTTTATCACATAAAAGCTACCATAAGCACTTCTCTTCAAGATCGCAAAATACAATCAAGTAAGTGATGAAAGGATTTTCAAAAGCAAATAAACACATGGTACCAACGAAGAGTCGTGCAGCAGTGGCGGACGAGATTTGGAGAGTCCTAGAGGGTAGTGACGTCGTATGAGTCTACCGGCGGAGCTTGATCGTAGGCTGACAAACGGAGGAAAAAAGTGTAGGCGATTGTGAGACGTATTTCACTCGGTTAGTCGGCGAGAGGTTGATAGCTAAAGAAGAGGGTGAAAACAGAGAGTTGGGACTGAGAACGGAGAGGGATTAGAGCGTCATCAACGTATTTCAGCAAAAGGTTTTTAGCTTTTTTGGATCTAGGGTTTTAACTTTCTTTGAATACTTGTCGATTTTTAAAAATTTTCACTCCTCAGAGGATGGATTTTTCGTAAAAGTGAAGGCAAAGGGAAGATGTCCAAGTCAGACGTGATTGATTTTAAAGTAAAAAAAGATAAGTAATTGATTTCTCTATATATAGTTTGCTAAATTGAAGCCTGAAAACGGGGATTGATTGAAACTAATTGATTTGAAATGTTACTTCAAATAAAATTCGAATATGAAAGAATGATTTTTTTTTAATTCTGAATTAAAGCTTGAATTCAACACCAAGGTTTGCCACTTGTTCTTTCCTAACGACACTTTACTTAGCTCATATCCCAGAAACTGCTCCAAATCACATAGTTATGCAATGTTGGTTAGGTTAAAAAATAAAACAAAATGCCAAAAGACAGAAACTTATAATAGTGAATTATGGATAAAGGGTATTTTTGGAAACTTACAACCCTACGGGGCATGAACTGACCATAACAACTAACATTACACCTGATCCTATATCTAAGTTTTTTTGTAGCATAGGGTTATAACTATCATATATCCCCATTGTTCATCTACTTCCTGTTGAGTGCTAGTTATACCAATCTCAGAGCCATCAAGACTATTGGATTATGATCATAAATCCTATTAGCCGCTCCATCCCTTATGCTGAAACAGCTTGCTTCTGTCTTACACATATTCACATTCTTCTGTCTACTGTTCTTGTAGCCAAGGCGTTGAGTTTGTCCTGGAAGGAAGACATAATGTAGATAAAGGATGGATTTCAGATCTTCGAATGAAGGGAAATGCTCTGGTACTTTCACCTCACTTATTTTCACACCAATGTTAAAATTTATGATAGTTAATTTATCTCATTGTTTCTTGTTTCCATGTTGGCTCATTATTGACATATTTTACCTAGATTTGTACTTGAAGCTATTCCTATGGACATGCTAAAAAAGAAGAAACAGAGGGCTAAAGTAATTGATCTTATTATAACCGAATGCAAGTAAGCATTTATGTTGTTTCAACCAATTCTAGTACTTTTATGCTTGTATTTTTACTTAATTTGGTCTTTTTGACATTACAGGGAGATGGATTTTGATGGCATTGTTCTAGAATCTTGGTCAAGATGGGCTGATCCACACATGCGGAAACTGGTTGGTAAACTTTTTAAAGTAAAATAGTTAATAGAGGAAGTGTATGATTTCTAAGTTTAATTTTCAATTTTGATTAAATATGTTTACAAAATCAGGCACTTCAGTTTGTTAAAAAACTGGGACAATCCAAGCATGTTGTGGGGAATCTGCAATTAGTATATCTTTTTGGGCCACCACGTTCTGATAAGGTCCAAGAGTATGATTTTGGGCCTGAAGATCTACAAAGCTTGAGTGATGATGTTGATGGTTACTCCTTACTGACTTATGACTTCTCAAATCCTCAAAATCCATTTTCCAATGCACCATCGAATCTTTATTATAATCTTTACTATAGTTTCTTGAACATGATAGAAATATGATTGTACTTTATGAAAATTAGGAAACAAATTATTAAGAAACAAACACATAATATAAAGTCATCCTAAAAATTATTAAGAAACAAACAATTTAAACCAAAAAACAACCAAATCCATCAAATCTCTAACCAGAAAAATGAAAATGTTTTAATACCCTTAGGAAAAAATTTAAAGCCTGATTATTGTTCTTAAAAGGTAGGTGACCAATCACTTTTCCAACTCAACCTTGACAAGTTTATGTTGTCCAGCTTCCCTTCCTACAACTTTTGTAGTCTTTGATGACGACATGTTGTCATTGACATCCAAAACAAAATCATCCTCAAGAGCTCGCTTCAAACCTTTCGTTGCATCCAAATTCTTTTTTGGGCTTGTGGCTGTCGATTTGAAAACATTCATTAGTGTTACATTATCATCAATCTGAGATATGGCATCTTAAAATTAAAAAAGAAATATAGTATTATTAGAGGTTATGAAAGTTAAAGATAATACTAACATGTGATATTTAGATAACTTAGAGTACACCTTTATAAATATGTTATCTTGAGATTCACAATCAATGGTAACATGTTCAAACGATTGTGAATTACCTCCCTGTTCAAAACATAAATGAAAAATTAATAAGCCGTTTATTAAGTATATTATATTTTGGAAAAAATCAAATATAATAACCTCTGCAACGACAAACTTTTTTTTCCAACTCCTCAATCAAAATCTCATCATCACTAATCCTGGAAATAGTGTATTGATTGGTGTTCCTTTGCACATTGTATTTTGAAACAGAAACTATGAAAGCCAATTTCATATCTTTCAATACATTAATATCGGACGGGTATACGTTAGTACAAAAACCAAGCTGCAAGTAAAAACATCAATAGATGAAATTATATATAAAAACACTAATGTTTTTTAAATAATAATAAGAAAAACATTTACCTTAGCTGTTTTTGCAACTAAATCTTTTGCAGAAATTTTTAGAAGCTTCTTCACATCTTGTTCAAACATTGTTAAAGTTATACTTCCAGTATGATCTTGAATTCTTACCGGAATCATGAACCTTTTAACAAATGTAAAATCCTCAAAATTATTCAACATAATTTGGAAATTACTGTTATATGAAAATTGAGTTTTTCAAAAAGTATTAACCTCAGAACTGTCAATGTTTTAGTTTTTGTGCATTTTGGATTTCGACATTTATATGTTGCATGTTTGAGTGATCTGGTGACATTGGGTTCATCGGAAGGATTGCTTGGAACTGCCTTTGTATTGCAATTTGTACATGTCGGGTAATGTCAAGGTGCGTTTTGAAGAATTCATTTTATGGTCGCAACAATGAAAGTCCCAAAAATTGCTTGACATATCAATCCGATCCACTTGATGGTGCGGAATCCCAATCAAGTGGATGATGCAAGATAGAATGGAGAAGAAGAAGAAGAACTTGATGAATCTATGGTGTATTGAATAATATGAATGATGTTCCATACACATAAGATCCAAACACACACTCTTCATCTCTCTAGTTTCTCTCTCTAGAACACCTTGATTTACACACACACTTGACCGTAAACTCTCTCTTCCATCTGACATCTACTGACACTATTTATAGAGAACATAGGCTGTAAACACGTTTACAACCGTAAACTCAAGGCTGTTTCAGTCCAAGACCGAAAACTACAATTGCCTAGAAAAGTAAAGTATAAATCATATTTTAGACCCAACAATCTCCCCATTGGTTTATAGCTTTCTTTTCTTTTTAACCCAACAAACTCCCCCTAAATTGTGGCTTGCATTTCTTCTCAGTCTTCACTCTGTGAACTTGGCTTCAGCGTTTATCTTCGATTTCTTCACAACTTCAAGATGAACAAATGAATCTTCTACGTGAATGACTTCATCTTGAACATTTGGGCATCTTTTCAAAATTTGACATTGAACGCACGTTGGGTGTGGAGGCTTCATTTAGAGATTCTTGAAAATTGGCGCTTTCAGCTTGAGAATCTTCAGAGAGAATATCAGAGAGAACTAATCTTCTGGATCACTTCAGAAGGTACATAGATAACAGCAAATTGATTAAGGAGGCTTCAATGCAATCTGTCACATAATCTTCAAGTACAACTTCACCTTGATTCTGGGGTTGAAAGATTGAATGTTGAAAGAATAATCTTCATTTATTGTTCCTTCGAATGAGAATTCTTCAACAATTACGGACGAAGCTTTGGCTCAGAAAATCTCGATACAGTCTCCATGAGTCTCATCTACATCTGAATTCACTTTTCAAGACAAAGAAAATTTGAGATAAAAACAAAACTAAAAGAAAACTTTGCACACAATATTTTTGGATTTTTCATATTTTCTGAAAAAAGTAAAACAGAAACAAAAATATTTTTGGATTTTTTAATTTTCTGAAAAAGAAATAAAACGGAAATAACACTATTTTTGGATTTTTGGTTTTCTCACTTTTGTTTGGTTTGTTTTTATAATTTTAATTTTCCCCCTAAATTTGTGCATAGAGCAAAAAACTATGAACAAATTTAACAAAAACAAAAATAATAGCTAAATTTGTGGAAAAACCTTGGATTTAAAGTCTCTGGGTGCAAACACCTTTGGTTTAATGAAACAGATTCAAAAGGGTACAAAAGTTGAGTTTCAAGGATTGTACCCACTGGAGAAGTTTGGGCAGTTTGCAGAGATTAGTGATGCATATGAATCAAAAAGTACTTCAGACGATGAAGATGATGTTGTCACTGTCTCAGATCATGAAGAAAATATTGTTTCTCCTATCGCAATTGTAGCTGAGGAACATGTGCCAGTGACGAATATGGAGGCCGATGATGATGATGATGGTGATGATGATGAAGATGAAGAGGGAGATGGTATGGATCATGAAGGTGATTTGTCGGGATATGATGATGATGATCCATTTTTAGATTTTCGAGCCAAGGATTCATCCTTGAACAACTATGGTGAGAAGGGTCTTTATGATTCTTTCTGTGATCCACAGGGACTTTTTAGTCATTTGTTACTTCCAAGGCGCAACGGTGATCATTCAAGAACATTCATTCGAGTGTTGGGTCTAAAATATAATGTTTATACTTTACTTTTCTAGGCAATTGTAGTTTTCGGTCTAGGACCGAAAACAGCCTTGTGTTTACGGTTGTAAACGTGTTTACGGTTACTGTTCCCTATAAATAGTGTCAGTAGATGTCAGATGGAAAAGGAGTTTACAGTAAAGTGTGTGTGTGTAAATCAAGGTGTTCTAGAGAGAGAAAGTAGAGAGAATAAGAGTGTGTGTGTGTGGATCTTATGTGTATGGAACATCATTCATATTATTGAATACACCATAGATTCATCAAGTTCTTCTTCTTCTTCTCCATTCTATCTTGCATCATCCGCTTGATTGGGATTCTGCACCATCAAGTGGATCAGATTGATACTCAAGCTAAATTTTTGGGACTTACAGTTGGTATCAGAGCTTGGATTGTATCAATCTCTTTGGCAAGATCTGGAGCGTTTTTGCACTTTTTCTTGAAGGATTTTACGTTTTTGGATAGTTTTTGACAAAATATTGGGATTTTGTTCTTCATTTTTTTCATAAAAATGGCTTTTCGATTGACTTTTGCAGCTAAAAAGGTGAAAAATCACGTTTTTTGCACGTAAACAGCGAAATCCGGCGACCATTTTCGCATTCAGCGTGTTTTTCCGAAGTGTTTACAGCTGTAGGAGCCGGAGGAGCGTGTCCGAGTTTGCGGTCCGAAGCGTTTACAGCTGGAGGAGTGTGTCCGAGTTTGCGGTACGAAGCGTTTACAGCCATGATCCGTTTTCGGCTTCGGACATTGCGCACGTGTTCGGTCCAAGTTCCGACACGTGTTCGGCTTGCGTTCTCAGTCAGCTCATGCGAGTTCTTGGTCAGCAGCGAATAATTTAAAAATTTTGGGGGGTTGCAAGATTCTAACCCGGGTCTTTCTCTCATACAACCCACGCCTTACCAATTGATCTAACAAGCCAGATGTTAACATCTCCCCCTTTTAAATCATATAGCTTCGCAATTCCGTTCCTGTTTTCGAATTTTGACAATTTTAGCCCAAAAATTAAATTTTTTTTGAATTTTAAAATTCCATTTTCTACCCAAAATTTTGGTTTTTAAATTTTGACTTTTGACCTCAAAAATTAACTTTGACTTTCAAGTTTTACCTTTGACTATAAACTTTGACTTTCTCGTTTAACTTTCAAATTTTCACTTTTAGCTTTTCGGTTTCACTTTTAAGTTTGACTTTTTAAACTTGACTTTTGAGGTTTATAGTCAAAGGGCATTTTTGGTAAACAATGAGTTCCTCAAACATCCCGGTCAATGAAGTTTTATGTTCTCAATCTTGTGAAGCTACGATTAAGTTTATTCGTGAACAAAATGATTTGCTAAAAAGGGAAAATGAGGACCTTAAATATGAAGGATATACACTTAGGAAGGCCCAAAAACCTTTAAAAGCACAACTAGAGGCCAAAATCAAGGATTTTAGAACATTTAAAGAGGAATACAACAACAAATGTGAAAATTATACATATGTTAAGGAAAAGCTTGCTAACTTGACTGCCGAACTTGATACATTAAAAGCTAAATATAAAGATGCAGATTTTACCTTTAAGAAATTTGATGTATCAAGTGAGGTAGTTGCATTGATGATAGAAAAACAACTAACATTTAAAGATAATCAAAACAAGGGTCTAGGGTATCATAGTGTTCCACCTCCTTTAAATGACAACTATACCACACCCCTTGAGACCAACGAGAAGGAAATTCCTGCTCAGTTTGGCCAAACCCCCTGAACCAGCTTCAGTTAAGACTGAACAATCTGGGCCAACTGAGAATATTATGGTGAACATTTTTGATGATTCTACTTCTTGTGTAGGTAAAGTAGCGGAAGATGAGAACAAGGAGAACAGAACTAACTCTAGTTATGTTGATTCTGTTGACTGTCAAACCAATGTCTCCTTGAACTCTGAATCTGTTGCTTCTAACTCAGTTACTTTCTAATCAACCTGTTGTTGGTAAATACAGGCCACCAAAACAAGCGAAGCAGACTGCTTGCTGCAAGTGTGCTTGTGGGAACAATCGGAGACAAGGCGAGGGTGTGCTACCAGGGACAGGCAGAAACAACTTCCAAGTAAAGAAACAGACATGTTTTCACTGTAGAACACCTGGACACATTTCTAGAAATTGTCCAAATTGCGCATACGTTCCCTACTATGCACAAGGATGGCAGAACACGTCAAGAAGGAGATTTTTCAAAGGAAACCCTTCGAGGCCAAGTTCAAACAATGATAACTTGAATGCCAAGAAGGCCAAGAATCAAACTCCCAAGAACAAGAAGGGAATGTCGGCAAAGAAGCCAAGTTCAAGAGATGCTCCAGTAAAACCAAGACCGGTTAGGTCAAAGTCATATCAGCGATCGGCTTCAAGTTCAAAAGCAAGCGATAAAGCACCCAACCGATCGAAAAATAAATGGGTTAAATCCGACTACAGATGGGTACCAAAGGTTCATACTCCCAAATCACCTAATGATTCTAACATTTCTTCATCATCTGTTTGTGATAAACAGGATACGTCATGGGAGAGAGTACCTTGCGTAGATGACAAAGGTCAACCCAGTTTCAAAATGGTATGGGTTCCAAAGACCAACTAATCCCGCACTCTGTGCTGGAGCAGCTATGGAGGCATATCATCAGACTTCAGTTTGTTGATAGTTGTTGTTCCAAGCACATGATAGGGGACATCTCTCAACTGTACAACACGCATAACTTTAAGTGAGGGTATGTGTCCTTTGCGGGAAAGGAAGAAAGGAAAGGATCACAAATGGGGTTTGTGCTTAACGATGTGAAGAATTTTCGGATCTATTCTGAGATTGAAATATGCGTGCTATTCTCAAACCTTCTGGACGCAAATTCAATTGGTGAATTACGGTTTGAGTTTTTCTTCTCGATACTCCTGAGCCTTTCTTAAAATGATTCTTTTTTAAGACAATCTTTTATTTTCTTATAGTTTTCGGATTGTAGATATTGTT